ATTTTGCTTCAGGCGAATATGGTGGTTATAGTACACACTAGACCTGGCAATCGGGTTGGGTGGGTCGTGTTTGGGTTGGGTTAAGGTATTTTGGGTTGATTTCGGGTCGGGTTGAATTTTGGGTTGGGTTGTCAAATGCTAGACCCTAACCCTAAATGTTCGGGTTAGGGTTGACCTATGGGTCAATTCGGGTCATCCTAAAAAAAATTGGAATTTAAAAAAATAAAGAAAAATACATGAAAAATGTCAAAATTAAAAGAATTAACCTTAAAATTCCAAATATAAAATAAAAACTTTAACATTTAACAATTTAAAGAGTAAACCATAAAAAGTAAATACTAAATAATAAAAATTAAAGAGTGGAAACTTCTAACAATGCATAAATAATCCCAATTAGACTTGGCAATCAGGTCAATGGGTTGACCCATGACTCAACCCAACCCAATTCAATTTTTTTCGGTCGGGTCGGATCGAGTCATTTTCACATTCGGGTTGCTAAATATGAGACCCTCGGCCTATTTTCTCGGGTTGGGTTGGGTCAACTTTTTGCCAGGTCTAGTACACACGATATAACCAATTGAATATTGCTTAGATAGATATGGTCTACTACAATACTACTTGATAATGTGTACACTTTTGGAAATGGAGGCAAGGATAAAGTTAAGAATTTTTTATAAGGGGGAACAAAACTTATAGATGGACCATAGGGCAGCCAACCATTGGGAGAAGAAGAAAGTTTACATGGAAAAATGTATTATGTGTGGAGATTTCTAGACCATGGGGGAGCATGACTCCCTTGACTGGTTGGTATGGTCTCATGCTGGTTGTAGTGGAGACTTGCGAGGTCTCACCTGTACCTGGGTTGGGAGATGGGCTATCTGAAGGGATGAGGAATCCATCATATGGATGGCCGAACCCTACAGATAGGTTGGGCGAAATTTTAAAAATTTCTCTCTCTCCCATATGGGAATCACATTCCCAATTTTAGAAAACTGCATTTTCAATGATCAATTTTGAACCTAAACCAGACCATATCTGAAACCAAAAGGGAGTGGAGGGATATACTTGATACGAAGTAGTAATAACCTCCAATGAAGGTGTTCACGCCCAAGAAAAAATCCAAAGACTGCTTCCACCAAAGATCACACTGTGTAGGATGAAGCAGAATCAGTAGGATGGTTCTTCAGCAAGAATCTGATGGAGGGCTAGTGAGCACGACTTCAGATTACCTTTTCTGCCAAAAGGTAATATCAAGAACTCTTCTTGATCGCTCCCACAGGTGGAAATCGAATTGGTATGGCGACAAGAGCAGGAGAGGAAGAGACAGTGTAGTCAAACTGTGTTGTCTCTCTCTGGAAATCAGCAGTCACTTAGATGATTTCTGTTGTGTTTTGAGGGTTCGCCTTGCTCTCCTATTTATAGTCTTAAAGAGAGGTTCTCCTATTCTCATTAGGAGTTTCCTAATCCAAATCTTGTATTTGGATCTGGACTCTCTTTAGGACATAAGGATAATCCCTTATCTTATCTGCAGATAAAGATCAACCTTCCTAATCTAATTAAGAGTTTCTTGATCCAAATCTCTATTTACATCTGAGCTCTCTCTGAATGGATAGGGATAATCCCTTATCCTATCTGCTGATCTAAATCCCAGAACCGCCCATTTTTAATTAATCTCATTAAGCCAGTTCAAATTGGGCTTTAGGCCCATTAAGTCCATCTGCTCACTTACCCTCCAAACTATTGCCCAATTGGATATCTTTGTATTGCGTGGGACCCAAACATTGATCTACACATCAGTCACATGGGTTCAACCCAGCCTCTGTTACAAGGCCTGGCCGAACTCACTATAGGAGATAGTGAACCCCTGAGTCCATCACCATGGGCTCTTAATGGGCCTAACATTTACACTAAATAGTCATTGGGTCAAGCCACCTTATAAAAATCCAAGGACTCTGCGCAGATGCAAGATTAACCCATCAGGTATTACCCTCAATGGTCTTACACTTAACCTCTCAGCCCATAATGATCAAACACTGCCCGACAAGAGATGCCTCTCCCTCGGCTGCAAGGTGCAATGCTGCACTCTCTACTCACATGGATCATAGGAATTAAAATCATTTGCAAACATTTTGAAATCATAATATATATATATATAAGTATATTTTGCAAAACAAATTACAACGGTTGAAATCAATTGCCGACAGTTTAGGTTTCCATCAGAGAGAGTGCATCCCCGATCATTCACTTTGTCTGACAAAGGGGCTGATCCTGTCACTATGATCATCCACTCAAATGAATTCTCGGACTGTCCCAACACACCCAGGTTTTGACCCCCTCTAAGGATCTCACTGATTGGCATATCAAAGACAGCCCAATCCGACACCTAGTGTAGTATCATAATCGAGTCTAGGGGCCAGGTGTAACATTCCAATTTTGCCCATCTATCTGCAAGGTCCAGGGCAATATTGGAATTCTGGTCCGGTTCAGGGTTTCAAGAAAACCCACTCTGCATGTACCTCAGGTCTCACCCTACCAATTGAGACAAGCCACCCCAACCAACTTGGTGGCACATCAGTGTCAGTCTTGGTAGGATAAATCTCCCCAGATCTATCCAACGACTGTGAAGATTCTAAACTAACATGAGTCTCATATGTGTCCAGTTTAAGGGTATTACACAGAAACATACCATAATAACATGAATCAAATATGTACTTTATTCATTTACATTAAATATCATAATGTACATCATTTTGATTGGAGCTAAGGGCATACATTGTCCAACACTATCCTCATGTAGCCTGCCCCTTTAAGAAAAAACAAAGACACATTTTATAATTTTCTTTTACAAAGCAATTAACATCTTTTTCCTCTCCTTTATGGGGGTTTGAGATTAGGGGTGTCAATTGGACTGGATTTGGTCCAATCCGATCCAATCCAATGTGAGTCCATTATAAATGGACCAGGTCCAATCCAATCCAATGAATGTTTTGGCCCAATTTGGACCGGTCCAATTCAATGTTTGGACCGTCCAATCTGTTCAAATTTATTTTGATTTAAATTGGTTTCAACCCAAACCCGGTCCATTGACACATATATTCTTATCTTATATCAATGGACCAGATATTGGCTTAATCCAATCCAATCTAATATAAATTTATTATGGACGGACGAGATCCAATCTAATCTAACAAATATTTTGGACCGGATTGGTCCAATCCAATGTCTTGTTGGTCCGTCCAATCCGTCCAAATTGATTTTGGACTAGACGGGGTCCAATCCAAAACTGGTCCATTGACACCCTTATTTGAGACAACATCATATACAACACACTAGATAACCTACCACCAGTCAAGATACAATTGTTCTGTACACATAGGGCCCATGTTGAATCCACACCTTATTCGCAGCCAATCCGAACTCTCTTTGATATATTCTTCTATTTTTTTCCTTGCCCTTGAGAAATCGGAAGTTGGCAAAGATAATAAAGTAATGGATAATTTCTATCTAACGGAGCAAAAATGTTTGAATGAAAAGCGTATTAACTGAAACATGTGTGACATAGCTATTACGTGCTCATTCATTATGCTTACCAAACGTGACTACTACACCCGGACCCATAACTTAGATCAGTTTGGAAGGAGAATTTGTTAAAACTAAAGTGAGCCCCGGGGCCCACACCTTAACCCAGACCAACTAACCCAATGTGGTTGAAATTCTTCCAGTCGAGTTGCAGTTGCAGTTGCACCTCTCAATATTTTAAGCAGCCATAGCTGTTTCTTATGTGCCCGTTTGGGACTTTGGAGGCAGGGGGTTTTGGCGCTCCACATGAACATCCTATGCAGTATATTTGATGAAAATCTCAAAAGAGTCCAACTGTCCACTAGCTTCAACCTCCTTAAAGATTATTCAGAGCACCTCAAAGCAACTAAATCATCTTAATTAGCTGAATCCTCAACTCAGCTCTCCCAAACGGGTCCTATGTTATCAACGCAACGCAAGACTCTTTTCCGATGGACACAAATTTATTACATCTTTACCAATGAAAATTTTCTCCGCAACATCTAATGACGTTGCATGTATCGTATGAATAATGCACTATCGTGTGAAATTAATTGGGTTTTTGAAGTAAAATCGGTGGGTCGATCGGTTAGGGGCTGAAGAAAAGATGAATAAAATTCTTTGATGTTTGATATGGGTATGAGAACAAGCCAGTGGTTTTCGATCGGGTGGAGTCAAACGAGTGGGGGTCTAATTTAATTTGGAATTTTATTGAGACGCAGAGGTGTTGGTGTGTGTTGATTAATTATTTGGTAGGTATTGTTTTTTAAGAAAAACAGTGTTAGACATGCGAAATTGTAAGCATCAATTTTTTTGAGAAAACAGTACTGATTTTATTTAATACCAGTGTCAGTGTCAGAAGCAATATTTTTATATTATTTAATGTCTAAACTGAATGCTATGTCATTGTACCGCTAGCAACAATGCACAATTTTCTCAGAAAACATTGATTTAGTGTTGCTCTAGACCATAATTTTCTAATTTCGAAGGCATAACCTGCAATAGCGTTTTTCTAAAAAAATGATACCAAACAAGGTGTTATTTGAAGCATCACTTTTTCTGATGTGGTGCATACGTGGCATTATTTTCTAAACATGCCAAACACCCACCAAGGATTGTACCCCATGACTACATAACATTATAACATGCATGCATGTGTTGTTTGTTTATGTATACATGTATGATAAATTGATTAAATTCCATTATGATTTTATGAAGCAAATCAAATACGTGTTCATTATGAATTATAAATTATACTACATGAAGTATGAATGTTAGGCATAAAACTTCCTCTAACCTTAATTAGAAAACTTGATTAATCTCAACTAATCAGGAAGGTCATTTTAGATCTCTTCTATAAATTCCGTAGATAGTTATTACCTTTTCCCCTGAGCTCTCTCTCTCTCTCTCTCTCTTTGTGTGTGTGTACAGACTACAGAGAGATGGATAAGAAGCCCGGCAGATCGCAAGAACCAGAAGTGAGAAAAGGGCCATGGACCATGGAAGAAGACTTGATTCTAATGAATTACATTGGAAATCATGGAGAAGGTGAATGGAACTCGCTAGCACGATCGGCAGGTAGCCTGTTCCTCTTATAAATGCATGTGCATCACCTTAATTCTTGGTTTCTACATAAGTTCTGTGACCTTGCTGGTTTTTTTTTTTTTTGTAGGACTGAAACGCACCGGAAAAAGCTGCCGTCTCCGGTGGCTTAACTACCTGAAGCCAGACGTCCGGAGGGGAAACATTACAGCTGAAGAGCAGCTCCTGATCATGGAACTGCACGCAAGGTGGGGAAACAGGTGAGCTTATTCGCAATATTATTACAAAGATTGGTCCTACCTTTTTTTTTTAATCTTCTCCCGCCTCTTTTGTATATGGAAGGTTGGACGGTTGGTTACTTTATTTCCTTATTGTGCATCTTGCACAGATGAGTTGGAGCAAAAAGTTCATGTACTACGTACAACTCATCAGTGATCGGGGCGTATTCATTCTATTCCCCTTTCATCATTCAAAGAACATACTCTGGTAGTGTAATTTCCCTTTAGCGAGCGAGAGAGAGAGATCTATTCCCCTTTCATCATTCAAAGAACATACTCTGGTAGTGTAATTTTCTTTTGAGAGAGAGAGAAAGAGAGAGAGAGAGAGAGAGAGAGAGAGAGAGAGCTATTTCCCTTTCATCATTCAAAGAACATACTCTGGTAGTGTAATTTCCTTTTGCGAGAGAGACGTCACTTTTTGTGAGTCGTGAGGGTTGTTACTTACACATGTGGAAGGGAAAATAAGTCAGAATCAACATGCCCGATGTCCTTAACTTCCCGATGATCGGCAACCCCTTTCCCAGATTCCAATCCAACGGTTTTTCACTTTTCTTTCTTTCTAGAACAAGTGCAGGACATGGCCTAACGGTTTATATATATATAACTTGTCAATCTTAAATCCGGTTATCATTCTCACAGAATCGACTCACAACACCTCAGCCATGCACTGGGATGGGAACATCTTCCCATAAAAACACGCAAGTACGAAAATATTCTCAATGCAAGGCTAACAAAGATGGTGTGATGGCCATTTTGTGGGGACGAAATCCGATCTCCCAATCTTTATCCCTCCCTTCCACAGACCAATCAAATAAACCGAGGCCGTTATCCATGCAAAAAAAGGATTAGTGGGAAAACTAGGGACTCCATGGAGGTTGAATCCCATCCATTGGTTGAACGGTCTCAGATTTAAATGATTCATGGGCTACATAGTGCAGGGAACAGCAGTGAAGTCCATGACCCATCATATTCTCTCTCTCTTCTCTCTCTCTCTCTCTTAATTTTATTCCAAAGTTCTTAGTCACATCATTATTCCAAGAATAACATTGGGCTGAATATATAGATACTAGATGCAGTGTACCTCCGACCCAAAAAAAAAAAAGAAAAGAAAAAATGCAGTGTACCAGGAAAACTGTGTTCCAGTTGCTACATTAGTGTGAGCAAGGTACAACACTACAACCTAACCAAAGGTTCATTTCTAAAGAAACGGCGATTTAGAGAGATGGTTTTTAGCCATTTCAGGTAGTGAGGAGATGTATGAATTAACTCCTTCAAATTTGTTTTCATGCCTCATTTGTCATGTATTACATTCTGGTTTTAATGAATTCTAGTGCCGTTGTGGCACTCCCCCCCCCCCCCACACACACACACACACAAGAAAAAAAAAGTAAAAAAACTACTAATCTAATATATGTGGGTATTTGCATTTCTGGGTCCACTGGGATGGATCTCATGTCTCAGTCGTCGCCTCTGTTTTGACACGTATATCCAATAGCCCATGAATTGGCTGAGCCCAAACCTCAAGTGCAATTCATTTGGTTGAATGGCTAGATGAATCCGTTCAAAACCAAGGAGAACCTGATTGACGACCACAATTTTTATTGTACTTAAATGTCATTCACTGTTCCGAATTTCTCTTTGCATTTTAAATGGGCTGAGTTTTGGGTGTATTTTGTTTGCAAATTTGGGACACAAATAGGCCCAGTTTTGAAACTGAGCTTGGACGAGCCAGATGAAGAAGCCTCAGAGCCTATTTCTTTGGGTTCGCTATAATTCTAAGCGCATATGAGTATCAAGGTCTGTCTCTGTCAGAGTCACCCCCCATCTCTCTCTCTCTCTCTCTCTTTCATGGAGCATCTACATCCATAATTCATTGAATAAAACCCTTTTCGGTTTAGATCTTTCTGTGCACCTTGGGTCCGGCATGGATTTCATTTCACTTGAAGGGTCAGACCCGTCTACATCCTACCTAACACAAGGCTGTGTTTAGTGTTTAGTTGGATAGAAAATAAGAGAGAAACAGGGAGTTGCGAGAAAATTGTCAAGGAAATGGTGATGCCACGAGTTGTTTCCCATATTTCCAATGCAAAGAATGGTAACATTTCTTTCTTGAACAGAATCTTGAATTGCAAAAGAAAATTTTAAAATAACTAAATGGCTTAATCCCAACAACGTGAGAGATGAACGTCACGGAATACTACATCATGGTAATCCCAATTTCCAACAGCAGGTGATATGCATATTAAAATGACCTTCCCTCTATGGTAATCTTGTAATGGAACTTAGCTACATATCTGGTCTTCTAAACGCTAATAGTTAGCCTGAAAGTCATTCGAAGATGACTTTCATCTTCTTCTCTGTTTGACTTAAGTTTACAGGCGTATCTTCTATCTGGGTTAAGATTAGCAATACAGTTGTAGTAGTAGTAGCAACTGTCAATATTAAAAGGGAACTAATCTTTTATAGAAAAAGCTTATGGAAGCAGTAGAATTAGGTAGTTGAAAAACTAAAGTTGGATCTCTATATTCAGTTATTGATGATTCCTTGCAAACTAGATGTTGGGTATTGATAATTTACTGTAAACTGCAGGAAAGTGTATGTGAATATAATACGTCCATATTTTCTTATTTAATTGCGCTTAATTACTTTGCCCATACAGATGGTCTAAAATTGCAAAGCATCTACCGGGCAGAACTGATAATGAAATAAAGAACTACTGGAGGACGAAAATTCGAAAACACATCAAGGAAGCAGAGAACAACCCCAGCCAAAGCTCAGAGATAAACCCTGAACAGACCACAAGTAGTCAGGTGTCCAGTGATGCCAATGCAGTTGAACCATGTTCTCCAACATATACTGGAAACCTGCAGGAGGCTTGGATGGGTGCTTTGCCCACTGAATCTAACGACAGTTTTTGGAGCGTTGAGGATCTCTGGTATATGCCGTAACTACTGGATGGTGAATAAAAATAAAAACTGTAGTTATACCAATATCTTTATGTAATTTTTTAGAGGACCATGATCTGTTTGATCAATAGTTGTACTGTACGTCCTTGAGCATTTTCAAGATGCTGGTCACCACTCATCAGTAGTCAGTATATGGATTTTAGTATACGAATATATGATAATTGAGTTAGTTCATCTCCTAATATAATAAATGGTCAGGATATTTGATATAGCCAAATAAAGTGTTGAAAGTCCAAGACCAGTTTCTACCTGCCTATGCGAATGAAGCTAAATAAGATAATTCAGTTCTTATATTTTAATTCATGGCGTATATAGTGAAAAGGAATTTGGGTGGAAGTAATAAGAAATGATTTAAGTGCAACCTCCCACAATTTAATAATATATGTATATAAGAAATAAGATCATTCGTATAGTCGATTTGGATAAGGCTTAGATGATGATGATGATGAATGGTTTGTATGATTATCTTTTTTGAGTACTGAACTATATTAATTAAAGCTAGTTTGTAATTTCTTATTTATAGACCAATCAAAACCCACCCATGAGTGATTGTTTCGGTTCTACCAATCAAAACCCTGGAGTGATTGTTTGTTCATCTCCTTCTTTCCCCCACCATCTCTGAAGGTTAACTCTGCTCTCCAATGGCACTTGGACAGCGTCAATCTGTCTGTTACTAGGTATTTGTTTTTTTCTTTTTCTTTTTCATTTTCAAAAGCCATTAATGAAATACCCACTTTGCATTTTGTTTCCATTTTTCTTGAAATTTCATTGTGAAATTTGTCAACTTCCACACCTGTTTCATTATGGATCAAAACCCTCTTTTAGTCTTTATTCTTTATATAGATGTCTTTAATTTGTATGCTTCATCTAGAATTAGAACACAGGGTCATGTCAAACACGATTCCTATTTTTAGAATCAAGAATTAATACTTTATACTTAAACACGTGCACTAATTCTCAGATCCGAAAAATTACAGAATCCATAGGCATTAAGGCATGTGCGGAACATGCAACCGCATGATCGATCACCATTACTAGTGGTATATAACCACATCCTTCAATTCCTTTTTGTATTGAAGCCTGTGACTCAAACTTAAGACTGTAGCTCTGAACTCTACTTTAACGCGGCATCTCCTCCGAACTCCGATGGAGTAGTCACGGAAAAGTTAGGTAGCCCGAACAAGTGTGATGAGCTAATCCTACTCTCTCAACCATGCATATCACCCCCAGGTTAAGCAATTCCACATGATGAGCGAAAAAGATATCTCAAGACATGATTAACGTAACATTCAATTCATCGGTTCATGCACTTGAAAAAGCTATCCACATAAATTTCTTTATTTATCGTACTATCGTTTGGGGTTTATCATCAATCATATTTATGATTGGTGTGATCAGGGTGGTGTGTAGTGAAAAAGACAAAATATCACGTCAAACCAGTATCTATTTAACATACTGGCATCTTTATTTAGACTTCGTTTGGATCCCGTATAAAAACGTTATTAGTGTAAAAGTACACTGATGATATTTTACATTGAAGATTGAACCGTATAATAGGTGATTGTTATATTTTGAAAATTGTGATAAAAAAAGTGTAAAGTTTTATATCAATAAAATTGATATAGTATTTATATTGATAATCGATGTAAAACTTTATGCTTGATGAGGTTCTACATAGATTCACGATGTAAAACTTTACTCCATCCAAACGCTAACAAATCTAAACTAGAGTGGAGTTTTACATCGATCTTCATTTACATTCTTTCCAAATGCCAACAAAACCGAACCCGATGTAAATTTTTACATCGTTCTTGATTTACACCGATTCCAAATGCAGCCTTAAGGGTGGTTGAGTTGTTTTGCCACGTTGGTCGTAAGTAATGTTTTCTCGTGCAAAGTGGGGTTATATATATATACACATTAAAGGAATGTGTTTAGGGTCTTAGGGATGCAAATAGATGGATTGGATTCAAATAAGGGTATATACAAATCCCATCTGCCTTGTTTTCTTTAAAAATTAATAAATTATTAAAAAAATACAAGTATTTTTTAATTATTTTCATCATATATATACACATTTTTATAAAAAATAAATAATATAATAAATTTATAAAAATATGGTATAAAAAGTATATTTATAAATAAATAAATAACATACATATGTATTATATATAAATATGTAAATATATAAATATATAATATATATATCGGATTGGATCTTCTCAGATCGGACGGGGGTGATCCAAGTTCGACAAATAGGACCATATCGTATTATGATCCAATCCGTTTGCACCCCTAAATGTGATCAAACAACAATACTTCCCATTCTGACATGTGGCACTCCAATTGGTTAGAAAAGAAGATTTCAAAAGTGGTTAATTCCACTTTCAAATAAAATAACTACATTAGAAGTGGTTTATTCAAACACATTCAATCCACTCCCATTCAAACATGTGGCACTCCAATTTTTTTAAAAAAGAGGATTTCAAAAGTGGTTAAATCCACTTTCAAATAGAATGAATATCTTAGAAGTAGTTTATTCAAATTCATTCAATCCACTTTGAAGTGATACAAACATGATTATTTACAAAAAAAAAAAAACACATAAAAATAACATAAATTAATAATGATTTTCAAATAAAATAAGTCATAATAGATTATGAATTACAAAGATGTAAGACCCATATTAATATTTCTAATTTTTTTTTATAATTAAATAGTAAATTTCAAATTAAATGATACAATGATTGCTCGGTAGGGATCATTCTCTAGTTATAAGTAATCCTATGTGGGAAAATCAAAAGGGACAATTGAGTTGGGCTTTTTAAGGCTGGGAAAGGCGAGTAATATTAAAGGTTATCATCCATGGGCCTTTCGTTTGTTTCAGCCACGATTTACAAATGTGGAAAAATTCTCTTCAGGCGGGACACACGACAAATGGCCATGTGATTTGTGATAGAGAAAGAAGCCTTACATGTGTGGTCGGCAAATAAATAAGGCCACCAATAAATTATCTTGCCTACTCAGGAAAATAAAAGTTCTGATATGGAAATGGGGTTGGGCTCTACGTGTTTATTTAAGTCAGTCCAATAGTAAGGCCCAATAATCTTACTTGAGTATTTAGCAAACAATTATATATGTTAAGGCATTTGTCTTAGCCTCTTAGGCAAAGCTCATCCTTTCCTAAAAGATCATAAAGCAAAAAGTGTTTTTTTTTATACGCCAAAGAAAAAAGTGTTTTGATGAACGTGGGTTGATTTTCCTTTATTAGCAGCTGCATGTATTCATGGGCTTAGGAGTAACTGAACTTTATAAAAATGGTTTTAGTTAGGTATTTATCAAATTACTTGCCTTAGGGGGCCTTCTAAAAAAAATTATCTGATTAATTTATACCAAAAAGCGTTTCGTAGTTAGATAAAAAGGTATTAAGAAAGCTCATTCTTTTTTAAAAAATAAAAAAAAAAAAGGTGTTTTGATAGACTTGGGCTTGATTTGATCATTCACGCATAAAAAGTGAATGAAACGAATATACAAAATGGTATTTATTTCTCATGTACAAGTATTACGTGTAAAGTCACAGTGTACCTAAAGTGGGGCTCCTAACCAGCTGAACTTTAATCTTAATCCTATTATTTTTGTGTTTGTTAAAGTCTCAATCTAAGTTTTGATTGGAACCCAATTTTAGTAGGATGGCAATGACATGTGTTTGTTGAAGTCTCATAACACCAGACTTCATGCTGTCAGCCTCACCCTGGACTGCGGCAAAAATGACTTTTAGGCTGCACACTTCTTCACTTCTTTTTTAGAACCCACTTCTTAGAAATGTTGACTTGTTGAGACAAATCTCAAATATATGCATCTAACTATAATACTATTGTTTTGGGCCTCTTTTGATATATAAAAAAAGAAGTTCTAAAAATATAGTCAAGATATTTATTTATTTTGTATTTTTATTGGAACAAGTTGATGAATTATCAAATCAGACAATGGAACCAATATTCGAGTTGTGACCCTTTGTGTCTGATCCGAGTCTGAGAATATTGCTAACCTGTAAATGAGATTCTGGTGCAGATTGGTTACCTAAAATAGAAATGCATGCAGCTTCGAGTGTGTAAGTATAGATGATTATATATATAGGTGGTCTATATTCACATGCTCGAACTCCAAGGTGCATTTTGTAATGTAAATCCAGCAATAGATCGATTCAACTAAATTAATAGCTAGGTAATCTGTAGACCCCAGAGCTTGAGATGAAATCGTGATTACCTGTCATGGCTTCCCACATTCAATACTGTGATGATGACAAGACCAGGGGCTGAAGGAAGCGGGTTATGAACTTCACAAGAGCCTGCTGTAAAAGAAAAACTTTCAGTGTAAAGAACTAAATTAAAGCATCTATCTATCTATCTATATATCAGGTTTAATTTGATGGGAACAACAAAACATATATTACTTGGAGTGAGGTGCGTGTTAAGTAGTCATTTCTCCTGGATCATCAGAATAAGTGAGTTACATACCCCAGTGAATCACCTTGTTTTGCCATGACGAAAACCACTGTGAAGAAGTACCCAGCGTATACCCTCCTCGCTTTGCTGCAATCTCTTTGTACATTACAGAAAACAGGACAAGCTCAACATATTGCCCCTGCTGCTGTTTGACAGGTTTGAACTCCCAAAACTCATCAAAACCTTTGAGGCATGTGGTTTGCTTTTCCCGGGATGACTTTTGAGTAGCTCGCTCCTTCAAGAGCCCTTTTATTGAAGGTTAGGTCTCTCATTGTTCTTAGCCATGTGATAACTCTCATTTTATTTACTCATTTCGATCAGACTGCAATCTTTGAGTTATGTTTCATTGCCTACAATACCAAATGATAAAAAAAAAAAAAAATGAAGAATAAAGAAGTTGCCAAACTTTGTCAAGCAGCATAATATTATTATTTTTTTTATTTTGTGATGATCAACTTTGACAGATGGCCTGTTTCTTTTTTTTTTTTTCTTAAACCATTGCCTATTTTTCCTTGAACTTTATGTGATGACCTTCGTAAAAATATTTAGCAATTTAATTACCCAATAAATTCCAAACTATGGAATTGGCTCAATTAATTAAGAACTATTCTTAATCGTCCTCTTATTATGTTCTATTGCTATATACTAATCTTAATTAGGGTTAGGAGTTAGCAAGGACATCTTCATGAGTCTCTCACAAGTCGGTTCAAGGAGAGCTATTCCCTAGGTGATGTTGGGCATCAATGATGATTCCTCCTTGACGATAATCCAGAAATCAATGATTTTTTAAAAAATCAGTAAAAATTGTTGTTTGATATTATTTATGCCGTGTAAGCTGATTTTTGAGAAATTTGCTTTGAATCTGTTTAGTTCTGATTTTCAAGGGCTGATTATTTTTTGTATCAGAGTTATTATTCAATGTCATGTTGGATGCTATGTCATCCTCAAACAATTGTCGTTTGATATTATTTATGCCATGTAAGCTGATTTTTGAGAAATTTGCTTTGAATATGTTTAATTCTGATTTTCAATGGCTGATTATTTTTGTATGAGTTATTATTCAATACCATATTGGATGCCATGTCGTCCTTAAACAATCGGAATTAGCTAGAAATCAAGAAATCACCAAAAAAGGTGACCCCTGAAAAGGGATAATTTCAATAATCAATTTCTGGCCAATTTCCTGAAAATCACCAAAATCGGTCAATTTTTCAAGGAATCGTCATCTTGCCAAACATTACCTTAATTACCTCAAATGCGCAGACTCCCCCCCCCCCAATTCACATCACATGCATTTCAATCGTATTGGGTCCCATTAATTTGAGTACTTATATGCAAGGTTCATTGATACGCCCCTGTGTATCGGCGAGGCATATTGGTACTTAAAACATATGCTTTTATCTGTTTTTTTTTTCAAAATTTGGCTTTTGAGAAGCTTTTTAAACATATTTTTTATTAAAAAAAGAGGGGTCTTGACTGTAAACAGCTGTCTTGGAACCCAAAGATACGATATAATATGTTTGATACAAAGCGTATCATATCGGTACTTTGAACCTTGCTTATATGCTATAAAAAACCCTAGATTTGTGGTTTGAAACCGAGGTTCAAAGTATTGAGACGTATTGGTCCTTATTGGCTGATATGTATCGTTTTAGGATCCCTTCGATATGTCCCTACAGTGGGTGTATTGAAGGTCTGATCGGTTGTAAAAAAAAAACAATAAAAATGAGTATCGGTTCACCCGATACACTCCTACCAGCATATCGGACGGATAGATATTTTGAAGCTTATTTGAAACCCTCTTGTTGCTCTACTTGAAGAAGGACGTGAATGATCAATTAGGGATAAAGTCCTCAAAAGAAGAAAATAAGAGAAAGAAAAAGAGGAGCTCCTCTCTATAATATCCTCCCCTCGCTTGGCTGTAACCTTTCCCTTAAAAATACATGTGCAATTTATTTTATCAAAAAAAAATCATCTAATTATTCATTTTTGTCATATTCATACCCTGTATTTATGATGGTTCCACACATGTACCCAAAAAAAGTGTAAATAAGACATACCAAAATATCAATTAAAACTAGTGAATGGAAAACAATTTGCATAAATAGAGTTATTTCATCTGGATTAAGTTATAAATATACTTATAATTCAAAATAGAAAATATCGACAGCCTCACATACAAGCATTTCGTCTCTCTCTCTCTCTCTGAGTGGCTTCTCGAACTCTCACACTACCTATCAATTGACAATTGGCTACACGTTCTGTGGTTTCTCTCTCTTAGCCGTTTCAATGTAATGCATGATAATTTGTTGTGATCAGTTCATGCGTATTTCAGTTAATATATAAATATTTTATTTTTATATAAATTATTTTCAGTATAATATAAATGTATACATTATAGTGTGTGTCTATGGCATTTTTTTTAGCCTAATAACTCTTGAAATTGTCTTTTTGAATTGTAAGATTCAAAAGTGTTAAATAGAGACATGAATAAGGTTAAAGTGGAACACTTGCCACATGGAAAAGATGCCGTAAAATCACCAAGTAGCAATTTCAACATAAACACAACCTTATCATGGAATGGTCTAACTTTCACCATATTCTTTGACCTATTCTCCAAAGATAATTCATCTCAGCTCAAGCTTAACCCCAAATATTTGGGAGTCTCCTACACGAATCCCCATACTCCATGGATGATAATATACATAATACTATCCGGGGCAGCCCAATGCCCGAAGCTCCCGCCAATGCAGGGTCTGGGGAGAGAAATTCATTAATATAAATTGTTCACAAAGTAGATGGCGACCTTAGACAGCTCTTGTGACGTTTTGCATGTCTCCTTCGCCAGGCCCATCTTTCTTTGACATCTCGCAGTGCATCCACAGTATGCAGATCAGTTGCAGCTGGGGAAAAATCTACTTGTTGACTACACTTTGCCTTGTCAGGATCTCCCCTAATTCTAGCAGCCTCTTCTTGCAGATCGGTTATCAACATCTCTGTGGTCCTTGCAGTGATACCTCGTAAATACCAAGAAATTGGTGGAGGAGGAACAAGAGATGGCTGAACTAACTGCTCTAAGCTCACAATTGACCCAACTCTTCCTTTGCCTCCAGTACATGAGTTGTACTCCGCCAAAGTTTTGGGCTTGAAAGGAAAGCAGGATTTTTCATCAACCAATAGGGGCTGTAATGTCCAGCAGCCCTCGAACCTTTTCATAAATCCCGTCTTCCCTTGCTTGAACTTCACCTGAAAAGTTAGCAGCTTCTTAAGGATGATGTACAGGGTTTGTCTTGTAGTCATTTAATGGGGATTCTAGAACCACTTTCTCTGAATATATGTGGTTGTGCACACCGAAAATCTGGAACCAATGATCATATGGGTAACTCTAGTGGACTAAGGTTTATCCACTAGCAATTTGTAGAGCTCAATTTACCTTATAGTCCATCTGAAATCGACAAGTAACATCCACTCTTTCCAGGTTGATGCATTTTCAAACTTATGGGGTAGTGGTCATCTCTAAGCCTCGTCAGCTTAGTCATGAAAAGTGGAAGTGGTGATTTTGAGGGAAACCAGGTTAGGGAGGAAAAACTTTAGTGCAAACAGTCAGCACAACATGACACTCACTGTAGGTTGGTGTGGACTATTCAGTTGGTTCACACTGAAGTGAACCAAATGGATGAGGTGAGGGCGGGGGGAGGACTACTAAAAAGTATCAATTATAAAGGAAACTACAGCTTTTCTTACCGAGTGATCTTTTCTATTCTGATCCACGATAACATGAACTGAAATGGTCCCCGACCACCAAAGAAACTTCCACAAAGCCGCTTGTTCCACCTCAACCACCTGTCTTAAGCCTTCATCAACCAAGACTCTCCTGGATATAACTTCCTGATAAAGGGATGGCTTTTGTTAGGATGGGAAGTGGAAATTCCTTCCAAGTCTTTCTAATACATCAATAAATGATGTATATAAGGCGGAGTTTGGAAGGAGTACAAATACAAATATGTAGAGTGCAAAACCTTGTATTTTGTATTTTTTTGTATGTATTTGCACTCTACATATTTGCATTTTTACTCCTTCCAAACTGAGCTTAAATTCATCAAGGATAAAATGCTCATTTCTGATACTAAAAGCATATGACTATTAGAAAGATAGACTATCCAAACAGAGGAAAAAACGCAATAATAGGTGTCAAATGCAAGAGAAAAACAGCATGAGGAAAGAAAATGCTTTTGCATATATAACACATGAAGAACGTATCTAACAGGAATGCACATACATATCTCCATCAGTGTCTTTGCATCTGGGCATTCATGTGTTGTGTGCGCACTAAGTTGTCTTTTTAAGTTTATTTAACTATGAAAAAAAAAAATTAATTGAAGAAGGTTTCTTCTCTCAGTTCATCATCACCAACCTGTCGTAGTCAAAGCATTTAGCCATTTAGTGAGGAAACCTGATTTTTGAAATGTGATGTAAACTCCCAGTCTTTGACTCTTGCAATCATTTCCCCTCATGGATGAATAGTCTCTCTAACAGTGTATACATATAATGTTTTCATTATTCCCAAATATATGTGATGTGGCTGTACAATCATTTCCCCTTAAAAAACAATGCACAGTGTTCCTTAGAACAGAAGTTGGAATACCCCTGCCCCACCTACACATGTATATAGCCAACTCCGAATAGTCGGGATTATGTCCAAGTTGAGTTGAGTTCAACACACAAATACATATTTTCTGTATAATAAAATTCTAATTTTTATCCAAGCATGAAGACAATGTCAAAATCAACATTGGAATATGAAGATATTGGTTACCTTGATATTTTTGAAGACTCTTTTATTGTCCGGATCAATAACAATGTTGTATATTGCATCTGGGGGCAAGCCAACATTGAATTTTACATCAAGGTTGCAAAGAGAACCTTTTGGTACGCTTACCTGCCAAGAAAGCAGCTTTATGTTTCTGTCTTTCAAATCAAATAACTGGATAAGTAATATCAACCCAAAGAGGAATTTGAGAAAATGTTAGGGTTCATTGTGAGGATGTATCACAGATTAGTTGAGCACAGGAAGCATATGCAAAGGAGTGGACGTAATCCATGGGGCTACTATGACTAACTCTGTGATTATCTTAACCATGTTGCACATGGGCTTTCTTTTGGAGCATTTAGAAGAGCACCAAGAGGTTCAGTGGTTAAACATCAAAATTCACCTATAATAGTCAGTTTTCAGCCAATAGAAATCTCTTAGGCTCAGTTTAGGGAGAGTGCAAATACAAATATGTACAGTGCAAAACCTTGTATACAGTATTTCTAAACCTTGTATTTGCTTGCATTCTACATATTTGTATTTGCACTCTTCCCAAACTGAAACTTAGGCTCAGTTTGGTAGGGGTACAAATACAAATATGTACTGTGCAAATACATACAAAATAATACAGGAGTACAAATGCAAATATGTAGAGCGCAAAACCTTGTATTTTGTATTATTTTGTATGTATTTGCAATGTACATATTTGTATTTTTTGTATTCCTTCCAAACTGAGCCTTAATCCATACTTTGAAGATATAGTTGAACTCACATTTATACTAATTCAAAGATGAATACTAAATGGATTAATTACTTAAACATATCCTGTGGTTTGACTAAACTACTTAAAATATATTCTGTGGTTTCCAAAACTACGTAAATATACCTAGTGAAACTTTTAGGACCGTTCACATGTGATATTATATTTTATCACCATTCCAGTTTTACCCCTCCATGGTTGAAAATACGCTTCTTCTTCTTCTTCAAAATGTGAAACCCAAACCTCCATGGCCAAAACTTATTCATCCTTTTCCTCTCAAAAGTCAAAACTGGCCCACCTTCTCTCTTTCCAACTAACAGCAGTTACAACACCCTTCAGATTCACCTCAGCTCTGTCTCTTCAAAGTCTTCAACTCTACTCACAGACAATGATTGTTGAAAATCTGTGCATCTCCGATTGTTGAAATTTTCTTTCATCCATTTTCAATTTATTGAACTTGATCTTAAAAAACAGTATCCAGGGTTGCATATTCATTTATGAATCTCTCTTAACAGTGGACTTAGATATGTCCATCTTTTGCATTCACCCGGGACCCTTTTATTTAATTATTCCAATCAGACCATCTCTGAACATTGGAAACAGCATCTCTGTATGTGCAGGGTTAAGGTTGCGTACATCTGTCCCTCCCCAGACCCTGCATTGGCAGGAGCCTCACACACTGGGCTGCCCTAGACTATCTCTAAATGGTCAGATCTTCTGTACTTTGACACATTTTCCATTTTCTTTTGCCACTGGGAAAAAAAATCATCTTTACTCCTCAACTATCTTTTTACCACATTAGCTGTTTTTTCCGCTAAATACTTCACCAATCCACTACATTTTACTAGAATTACGTTGATCCTTGTTTTTTCATCCCACCTTTAACGTCTTTGGAGTCTTTCCTGGGTTACTGCCCCAAATCGGGTAGCAAACCTGATAGAGGAGTGGGCGATGCATGTCCTTTAACAAAAGCACTTAATTTCTAGAATCAAGTGCGTGTTTGAAAATTAAAAGAACAGTTAAGAACATTTTTGTCCTTTAATTTTTTCCACAAATCTTAATGGTTAAATGCTTTAACAAGGTAGATTTAAGTAATTAGCCCAAACCAGAAATATATTCCAATAAGAGAACAGAAGAAAAGAAAGAAAGAAGGAAAAAGAGCTTTTCATTTAAACTTATTTAAGGAAGAACAATAAATAAAATAAATCAGCATCAGGTTCTATCATGGAAAAACTAAAGAGAGAAAAATCAACCTTTCACTTTCCTGAATTGTTTTCTAGAGAAAATTCCTCAATTTAATTCTTTTGTACCTTTAAATGTGGAGGTTGATCAACCCAAGTTGGATTTTCTTTCCAAGCCTGCAGTTGCTTCTCCAAGTTGATGTTCAAAGCAGCATATGACCCTGGGTCCTTCTGTACACCAGAACTTAGAAAATCTGCTTCCTCCTCAGATTTCACATTCTTCTTGAGATGCATCTACAACCAGCATAAAAGAAATCCCCTCTAATCAACAGCTAGAAAATAATTATTTCTGATGAGGTTGACAGCACTGGCTGACCTTTAAACAATTTTGAAGCTTCTGAGGGATCTGCACCAAGAAATTGGGAAATTCTGGCTTGAAGACTTTCAGTTTCCCATTTTGTTTCTTGTTGTGAATATCCAGGCTTATCCTGGTCACCTTGTTGTGGTCCATTAAAGCTTGGATTTGATTCCAAATTTTATTTTGGAAACAAACTGATTTTATGCTTTTCCTGCAAATATAAGCACAATTAACTACTTTCACTTTTAATCATTAAGAATTTTTCCAAAGTCGTACCCCCCCCAAAAAAAAAAAAAAAGAAAAAAACGAAAATATAAAATAGACAAAAGAAAGGAAAAAGAAACAAAGAAAAAAAGTATGAAGTATAAGGAACAACATATGAAGGATTATTTCTTCTAGTTAATGAGTCGAAGGAATAGTTGCATCTCCAGGCATATATATAAGGGGGAGAACATACAAATATAGGCAATCATAGTTTTTTTTTTTTTTGTTCTTTTCTTTCTGTTTTTAGTATTCTTCTTTATCCTTTAGTATGCAGTAGTCAGTGGTTAGTTGTTGGCAGAAAGTGGAAATAAGGGTGAAGATGGATTAGAACCCAACTCTCATGTATGACAAATAAGAGATTTATCAGATAGCCAATGGTGGCATCTTTTAGGAAATAAATACCAAAACTCCTCTGATATACCCTAGCCTACTTATTGAGGGTCAGCTGCACAGATTCCTTTCTTCCATTAAAGCACACAACTGCAAATCATTTCTTTACTATCTTATCCTTCTCCATGTCCTTTTAGAACTTTCAACACATACTAAACACTTATTACTAGAATTATATGTTTTCTTACACTTATCTGCAACTATGCTTTTACTTTCTTTTTTTTTTCTTTATTAAGTAGATTTTGATTTAGTGATCGGTTACAAGTTGAAGGAGCAAAAAGAACTAGGGGAAGACCAAAAAGGACTTGCGTGGAAGTAGTAAGAAATGATTTAAGCACCCATAATTTGACGATGGATATGGCACTGAACAAAACGAAATGGTGAAACAGGATTTATGTAGCGGCAAGGCTTTGATGATGATGTAGATTTTGGTTCACCTAAAGGGTTCAACTATGATATCGGAAAAACTTGTAACCAATGAACCGGTATCATGAAAGTGGAAACCAATCAGGTGGTATTTATCAAAATTCACTGCGAGGGGGTTGATTGGTCAAAGCCCTTCTGGTACGATGTCTTTCTGGCAGCATAGATTTTCCCTTACCTAAAAGTTCTATATATGAATTCCATCCATGAGTAGCCCATTAGGTGATATCATCAGTCCTTGTACACAGTTAACAAAGATCTAGACACTTAATTCTTTCTCCAAACTAAGAATATGAAGTTCCAACCATACCAAACCTTTCTTTCCTACTTATCTATTTATTAACCAAAAATAGGAAAAAATTGTATGCTACTGCAGACAAGAAGCATAAAAAATGTGGGGCATAATTTGCAGTAAAAAGACAACAAGAATCCTCAAATTTTAAACTAAACCCGAGATTTACCACTATCATACTGCATCAAATTGAACCAGTAATCAACAAAAACTGAGAGAACAACATTATTATATTAAAATGTACCAAATATACCAAATTGATTTCGAGAGCTACCAAAAACAAAAGAAAATCTTGCCAGTTTGGTGCTCAGAACCAAAGCACTCCGATCAACCAAATTATGTCGCAAATCACAAGCCCGAGGAAGGCCCATTTGAAAAAACCAAGAAGCTCGATAAGAAACACAAATCATAGAACCTGCCCGTGAACAATGGCTAAGATTCAAAGCTAAAATTGCATACCAGATCATAAAACTAAGAAGAACTCACTAGGAAAAAAACAGCATTTTTTTTGTCAGAGAAAAAACACCAAATTAAGCCCAAACAAATGCAACTTGAACAGACTTACGACGTAACTGAAACCAAGAGTGATAGTGGAAATTTCAGAACCTTTAAACCCCCTCCCCCCCCCCCTAACCGAGCTCCAGAGAATAGAAGAAAAAAACAGAATTAAAAGGACTAAGGAAAAGGGGGGTGGGATTCTGCTATGACATGTATACAACAGAGCAATTTACTTACAAAGGAATCAGATTTTTGAGATACCGAGAATATGAAGGCAGAAGTTGTTCAGTTTATCGTAGCAGTAACCCCTATCAATCTGAAACCGAAATTTGTTTCAAAAAATCTCTATTTTTCTTCGTCTTTTCTTCGATGGCTTTCTTCGTTTCCAACTTGTAAGCAGAAGAAGAAAAAACGTGATTGAGACATCAGTGCAACGCGGTCCATAGATATGTATACACGTGCTTTGGACCTTTGGCGCAGACTCCTTTAATCCCGTTCCTGTTCCTTACGCTGTTGCGCAGACTCCGTTTCAGAGGTAATGTGCGGTGGCTGGCTTTGGAAAGACTGGCTGTTTGGAAAAACAGCCTAGGCTGTTTGAGAGTTTCTTACACATGACACTCTACCATGAAAACGGGTCCCACAGGATGAGTTAATCTCATCTCATCTCATCTCCAATGTATCTCCGTGTAGCTGTCCGTAGCAGCTCAAGTCAACAACCACAGTAGGAATGGCAACGGGGCGGGTATGGGGCGGGGCACCCCTCCCCGTCCCCGCCCCGAAGTCAAGATACTTTACCCCATCCCTGCCTCGTATATGGTGGCAGGGCGGGTTTGGAGTGCGGCATCCACTCTCTATTGGAGATGGTTTCTATTTTAAGACAATTTCTTAAAAATTATTTATTTTGTGAATAATTTATACATATAATATAAGAATTTAAGGGTATCTTAGGAATTGAATTATAATATTTTAGGGGTATTTTGAAAATGGAATTATGGGATTCTAAGATTTTAAAAATTTAGGAAAAACTTAGAGATATTTTAAAAAGTCAATATTAAACCTAGAGATATTTTACTAATTTTACCTTTGGGTTCGGGGTAGGTTTGGAGAATTATATACAAAATCCATCCCCACCTTGTCCTTGGTTTGGGGAAAAAGTATTTTCCCCATCCCTGCCTCATCCCCATTTAGGGTCGGGGAAAACCTGCCCCGTTCAAGGTAGAACGGGGTGGGACCCCGGTTTTAAGAAGAAAATTGCCATCCCTAAACCACGGTTCAATTAACCTAATTCATCTCCGATCTAGAAACCCTCCCAAATGGCTCTTAATATAAATGGGGGCAAAAGAGTAGTTACATACTTACGATTGCGTTTGGAAATGATGCAAATAAGTGTGAATGTAAATAAGTAGATAGGATGCCTACAGTTTGATGGGGCATTTTTTGTAACCGAACTGGTAGTACTGGTTTTTGAAAAACTGGTAACGGTAACCGAACCAAAACCTATCGGTTTATCGGTTGACCGATTCAGTTAACCATCGGTTTGGTTCGTTGATTTTTTGGTTTTTTAATTTTTACAATATATATTATAAAAATATATATAAATATATAAAATATTATTTTAAATAATAAATAATATATCATATACTATAAATATATATTTATATATATAATACATATTTATTAATTTATAATATATAAATATATATAATATATAATATACATAAATATATATATAAAATATATAGAAATATATGTATACCGTTCGGTTTGGTTAATTGCCAGTTTTCTATATTGGTTAATTGAAACCAAACCGATACCTTTGGTTTTTAAAAACACCAAACTGACTAGTTCAGTTAACTAATTTTTCGGTTCGGTTTTTTTAACTGTAATGGATGCAAACACAAATTCCAATAAAGCATATACCTTTTTTTATCAAAATCCCACTTGAATACAAATTTACTTCTTTTTTATTGATGTACTTTTATATCTTATTATCAATGTAAATATGTATTGGAAAATATGTTTTTTGTTATTTGTCAATGCATAAATGTAATGTTGCCAAACACAGACATAATGCAAATTTACCCTGAACTGGGATTTACACTCCATTTGCATCATTTCCAAACGCAGCAGACGTTACAATCAATAGACCAACGAAAAAGGAATTAGGGAAGGCGGGCAGGCTGGCCTGTTGGGTAGTGCTTCAAAGCAATTAAACCAGCTAGCTTACTTGAATCTTCAGCTCATCCCTCCCAAAGGAGGTCGGATTAGCTGAATGCAATGGCTGGTTAATGATATTTCTCCATGCAGGCATTATAATTGGTTCAAAGGGTGTTAATTGGACTAGATTTGGTCCAATGAATCCATTACAGATGGACTAGGGCCAATTCAACCTGATGAATACTCTGAACTGTTTTGCACCAATCCAATTCAATATCTGAACCATCTAGTCTGTTCAAATTGATTTTAATTTACATTGGTTTCATATCAAACCTGATCGGTTGACAGCTGCATTTTTATCTTCTATCAAAGGATTAGATGTTGCTTCAATCTGATCCAATGCATTGAGAATGGACTAGATCCAATCCAATCCAATAAATATTTTGGGCAATTAAGTCTGAACGGGTCCAATTCAACATGTCTTATTGGTCCGTCCAAATTGATTTTGATTTATATGGGATCCAACCCAAAACCGGTCCACTAAGACCCCTAATTGGTTCGACAGTCTGATATACAACCATAAGTCCATAACGTTCAGCTAATAACTGAATTTCCAATTCTTTCAGCAAATGTGTCTCAAGTAATTCAGTTCACAGTTCACCCACTTCAATTGTTATCAAATGACACAGCCAAAATAGCTCTCTCTCTCCATGGAGTGATAATGAGCTGGGTCCAGGTCGGGTTAATATACCTGCCCAGGCCTGAAAATTTGCGGGCTGGGCCACGCTAGAATGATCAGTTGATCAATGACATGGTGGCAATGAGGTACCATGTAATCCGCCTTTGTGTCTTAATAGTGGGGTCTACAACGAACCTTTTACATACTTGCAAATTCATCCCAAATTCAGGAGGTGTAGACGAAACCAAAGATGTAGAGATGTTACGTTCCACTTTGGTTAAAGTATGGCCACACAATTGCCTCTACATCTACAATCGATAAAGGAGACAAGAGATGAGTAAAAGAGCATAAAAGTTCCTTACAATCTGCGATGATGGTATACAATCGTCAAAGAGCTTCAATGAGAGGGTCCGACAAGGAAGACACAATCTTTTGTGCGTCTCTTTCAAGGATAACATGAGAAAGAAATAAATCTTTGGCCCTCTGTAATCCCGCTCTAAAGCTGTGTTTGGTTTGAAAGAAAAGATAAAGAAAGGAAGAGAAAGATAATGAAATCCATACAAGGTCTAAATAGGTTTTCCAGACTTTCCTTTTTTTTCTCTACCTATTCCTTCAAACCAAACATAGCCTAGGAGCTTTGGCCTCCATAACTTCCGAATCAACAAGTGGAAGACAAATAAAGCGTGGAAGTGGGCTGTTGGTGATCAATGAGCTTTGGCCTCCAGAATTCTGAGGCCCAAATGCTCCATCAACATTAATTTTAATGATATGATGAAGAGGTGCATGCCAATGAGTGGAAGTGGGCTGTTGGTGATCAATGAGTTGGAGAGGTAATCTTCTCTGCTCCTCTTTAAAGTGTGTCAATTCAGAAATTAGGACAAGTAGGAATACACACGATGCAGAATTCTGAATTCCAGCCCCCCTATTATTAGCCCTCTCCCCCTATAAACCACATCCTGCCCGAATTTGACATCAATTCACAGTCAGGATGCATTTCCCCTGTACTTTAGGGCTATAAAATTTTGATTTAGGCTGATTGGTCATTCTCCCTCAGAAATTTGAGTTTGGACAGCCGCTAGCGGAAAGGGGATTGAAAGAAAACTTATTCCATAATTAATTTACACCGAGCTTTTCAATAATGCCACAGGATTATGTGTATTGGGAATTTGAGACCACCGATTTATAAACCTTGATGACTCCCAATATATATTTATACTACTTATAAAAGTGTGAATGAAGGTCTTGACTTCTAAAATTTTCATTGAACAGCTTTAGCCCTTTATCTTGAGGTTTCTAGAGGGCATACATATAATTATGATTTGATAAATGCTTCTCACTAATTGACACAATTGAAGAATGAATATACTTGACTTTCGATTTTGGCTAGGAAACAATTAGCTAAAGAAGATAGATAGTCTGGATTTCCTACTAATCAAACTCTACTATCCTTTCTATTAACCCAGTGAAACAATTCCACTTGTCCATAGTGGCTATTCCTTTGCAACAATTGACCAGGTGCGTTTCGCTAATTCTTCGTTGCATCCATAAAAAGATAAAAATAAAAATATCAACCTTTTGGCATAAATTATAGCAGATGAGAGATGAGGGCAACTTTTACGCCTTAATATCAATACAAATAATATTTTTAATAAAATTTTAAAAATAGATTAACTTTTTTAAAATATTATGAAATAAGGGTAAAATTACCGTTCATTCCCTACCTTCTTCCAACGAACAACCAGCGGCAGCACACCCCTACCTCCGGCCCAATTTTCTCTCTCTTCTTCTTCTTCTTCTTCGAAATCTTCCTCTGCTTCGGCCACCGTTGCAACTCTTGGCAGCGGTGATCTCATCATCCCTCTTCTTTTCTTCGCCGTTCTTTAGTCCACTTCCGTCCGCCCTCTCTCTCTCTCTCTTTTTCTCTTTCTCTTCTATTCCCTTTCTACTCCTTTCTTTTCGTTTTAGACAGCGCTGCTTTGCAGCGGCGGATCTGAAACCAGCGGCGGATCTGAAACCAGAGGTGGCGGCGTTTTCCTCCTTTCACCGATAACTGAGAAACCTTATCTTTCTCTTTTCTCTTTATGGTTTTCCCCGTATTCTCTCCCACCTACAACTCTTCTTACTCGTCTCCATCGTCTCTCTGTCTTACCTTAGGCCCAAGCTGAACGTCATTCTTCGCCCTCCATTTGTGACCCAACAGAGCGACGGCGACGGCGGCAGCCGGATTTTAGCGCATTGTTCACTTTTCTTTCTCATCTTAGCACCGAACAGAGACGGCGGAAGAACTACCACCAGAGCAGCGGCAGATTTGAACCCTGTTCCTTCAACGCTGCTTTCCTGTTCATCACCGAGCGAATCATCGTAGTTAATTCGTCTTGCTTCTAGTTTACCTCTGTCAGCATTTGTAGAACCCATTACTGTTCGAAGGGAAGTAACTCGTGACTGATTTTTGTTTGAAAACCACTGTCCCGTCGATCATTTTCAGTCAGGCCGACATCCAAATCCAGGTAACTTCTTCTAATTCTTTTTTACTCTTCTTAGATTTTCTCTCTTCAATCATTTTTGTGGGATGATTTTCTGATGAATAAATTATAAGAAGAAGATGATAGAATAATAACTTTGCTCCTTTTTCATATTATTTAAAAATAATAATTTATTTTTTAAATTTTATTAAATTTATTATTTTTATTGATATTAGGGCCCAAAAGTTGTCCTTATCTGCTATTAGGGTTGTTCATGAGTCAGGTTGGGTCGGTTTAATGACATTTTTCCAACTGACCCGATCTGGTCGGTTTACCTAGAAATGAAACCGAAACTGACGCAGTACTAAGTAAAACCGACCCAGTACTAAGTAAAACCGACCTAGTCAGTTTGAATCGGTTTGGGTCGGTTTTGTGAATGATTCTCTCGGTGTGAACGGTAAAGGATTCAAGTCTAAGAAAGCAAAGGCTAGATGCCTATAAATTAAAATTGATTTGATGGATTAAAACTGATATTTTATATATCAGAAATTTTATATATAATATGTATATTTCTGAAATATATATCTGAAATATAAATTAAAATTGAAATATATCAGATGTATATATATATATATATAATAAATATCTAAGTCGGTTCGGGTCGGTTCGATTTCGATTTTCACACATGAAAATCAAAACCAAACCGAACCATCGGTTTATGTTTTTTTGCAACCCAAAACCGACCGATGATGAAGAAAAATCAGCCAACTCAGGTTAGTTCAGACCGGATTGGTCGATTTGGATCTTATTATGAACAACCCTATCTGCTATAATCCCTACTATTTTCACCAATGACCTATTACACCCCCTTCTCTAATCTTCTCTCATCTTGTGACCATCTTTGCTTGCACACGACTAAATCCCAAAACATAGCTCATTTTTGCTTACTCTCAACAACTCCTAATCAATTCACCTCTCCTTAGATCCAACAAGTTTGACTTTTGGTGTAATCATATATATGTTGGTGGTCCAAATTGTTGAGACATGAGACACGCATAGAATATTTATTGAATAGCAATTATAGCAATTTGTAGACCTGGCAATTGGGTTGGGTGGGTTGGGTTCGGGTTGATTTCGGGTCGGGTTGTCAAATGCTAGACCCAAATCCTAAATGTTCAGGTTAAGGTTGACCCATGGGTCAATTCGGGTCATCCCAACAAATAATTGAAATAAAAAAAAAATAAAGAAAAATTACATAAAAATGTCAAAATTAAAAGAATTAACTTTAAAATTCCAAATATAAAATAAAAAACTTGAACATTTAACAATTCAAAGAGTAAACAATAAAAAGTAAAGACTAAATAGAAAAAATTAAAGAGTGGAAACTTCTAACAATGCTTAATAATCCCAATTAAACTTGACAATCGAGTTAACGGGTTAATTCATGACCCAACCCAATTTTTTCGGATCGGGTCATTTTCGCATCCGGGTAGCTAAATATGATACCCTAACCCTATTTTTTTGAGTTGGGTTGGGTCAGGTTCGCGGGTTGAATCAACTTTTTGCCAAGGTCTAGCAATTTGCTTATCTATGATAGTAGTGGTCATGATCACGCCATAGGTCTGCATGGTAGCGTATTTGTTCCACTTTTAATGCATGCATATGCCTTCAGATATCAATAAGAAACACCTTGCACCAGGCAATATTTTGATCAAATTAATTTGGTTTAAAATGAGTTGCCCATACTCAACATGAGGCTCAATTTGGATGGAGCATAGATTGTTGAATTTCTATGGATGCTCAGAATATCAAAATATCGATGAATCAAATTTCCGGGTGGGCATTTGGTCTAGTGGTATGATTCTCGCTTTGGGTGCGAGAGGTCCCGAGTTCGATTCTCGGAATGCCCCTAATAGAGTTAATTATTTTATATTTTGATTTTCAAATTTATAGAGATTGGCTTCAGTCAGAGCAAAGTTCATTCGAACAGCTTTATTAGGAGAAGCTCGGGGCTGAATCAGCCCTTGGGTGCTTGAAAGGACTGTACTGCCCTCAATGTATAAATGGGAAAAGGGAACGTGGTTCGGGGCTATTTTAGAAGGGTGTAACGGTCCAAGTGCCAAAGATCGATTCGAATGGCGAATGCCACTTCTATGGATTTGGTTCCTATATTTACCTTATCCTATCCTCTATCTCTCTTTCTGCATCCATAATAACCCAGTCTCCGTCTCTCCCTCCTCTTCGCCCAAGTAACAAGGGGAAGAAGAAGAAGATGGCAGCAACGCTCTCCACTCTCAGCCTCCGCTCTCCCTCTCATTCTACAACCTCATCTTCTTTTCCTGCGCACTCACCCTCTACTTTTCCTAAGCAAAACCTAGAGTTTCCTCTCTTCCGAAGCCCTAAAATCTCCCGCAAAGGCAGCTTTCTTCCCCCCATTTCCGCAGTCGCCGTCTCCGAGAAGATTGAGAAGCTGGGGTTAGATATCGCAAACCTCACCCTAGAAGAGGCTCGCAACCTCGTGGACTATTTACAAGACAAGCTAGGTGTCTCTGCGGCCGCCTTCGCCCCGGCAGCAGTGACCGTAGCACCTGGCGCTGCAGCGGAGGCGGGTCCCGCGGTGGTCGAGGAGAAAACGGAGTTCGATGTTGTAATTGAGGACGTTCCCAGCAACGCCAGGATTGCGACGATTAAGGCTGTAAGAGCACTGACTAATTTGGCCTTGAAGGAGGCAAAGGAGTTGATTGAAGGTCTCCCCAAGAAATTCAAGGAGGCTGTATCGAAGGAAGAGGCGGAAGAGGCAAAGAAGCTTCTTGAAGAAGCCGGAGCGAAGATCTCCATTGTTTAGAATGATTATACCAGCGGTGAATTTCTCTGATTTTCGCTTTTCTTTCTTTTTGGATAAATTTAGGATTAGAAGTTGGTTATATCCTAGCAATTTCTGTTCCTGTTGACGTTATGTTGTATTTCTTGTGAAATTCGCCTCTTCTTTTTTCTTTTCTCCTTAGTGAAGATCTTTAATTAATTAAAGTAATTTTTGTGCCATCATTCTCTGAAATTTGAATAGTATCTTGATGAAACCTTACCATTCTTCAGACTTCTTTTCTTGAGTTTAATTTGTTGTTGCCAAGAAGTCTGTTGGTGTTGGAGGAATCACTTGGCCGCTTGGATTTCTCCCTTATCTTCGCATCCAAAAGCGCTCAAAAAAGCAACGGATGAAGACAGACCCAAGTGGTCCATTTCTGAATACGTGGTTAGTCTCAAAGGGTTTCCTATCTGATGTGGACGGCATGGCTTTGCCACATCATCCATGGGGTAGCTCGTACTTTCTAGCCTAATGGAAAATCTAACAAAAAAAAAAAAAAGTTAAGACTGTGAATGGTTTATCAGAAAATAAGAGAGAAAACAGAAAGTTGAGACAAATCCTTGAGGCCTTTCCCTCAACTTTCTACAAGTTTGCTTCTTCTCATCCTCTAGATATGCCTATCAGTTCTTTAGGATGAGGGGCCTTCTGGTATACAACCTAGAGACCTGCTGAAAGTCATATTTGATATGGAACAATTGAAAAATAAGAAGTTAAGATCCTATATATATCTAGCTATTTTTCCACAAAGAAATTTCATTCCTTCTAATGCTTCTATAAAACTATAAAAAGTTCCACCATATAAGAATTTCCCATTAAACCCCCAATAAAATTCCCGTTTTCTAAGGATAAGAATTTCGACTGAAACTGAAGTTGCTTACCTTATCATAGATGGGATTCTCACCCTTGGTATATTATATCAATATTGTACAAAAAATAGGAAATTGGTTTCATGCTCGTTCTAGGTGATTGAAATTGGATTGCCTTAAAGCAGATACCATTGCAGATTTGTAGCCCTAGTAGGAAGGCTTTCTCCCATGAACTTGCATATTATCATGAACATCAAGGATGCCACAATGGTCTTCCTATCCAATTTGGCTCTTTTACTATCTAATCAAAATATGCAGTTTATCACCATTATAACCGATCCAGTGAACATGACAGCTCTTATTCTACCTATAATCATAGATAATATCCAGAGTTGTAGACGGGAAGCAAAAGGAAGGAGAAGAGAGGGAAAGAAAACGAAAAACAGGTTGCACACCACAATCAGTTTCACGTTTCAACAAGAAAAAACTCCTCGACAGACCTCCCGTATCCTTCCTTGGAATCTTGTCCATCGCCATGATCCATTTTCCTCTTTAGCATTATATTTGGCGCCTTCCCCTGCCTGGAGGTGGAGGGTACAATTAATTGGGACCGACACCATAGCCCCCCATTCCTTGCAAATAGAAAGACTACCCGTCTCTCTCCTCCTCACGCCTGTCACATATGTAAATCCTCCGACGAGTGAGCATAAAGCTCATGTTCATCATGGAGCTGGTGTTCTACATTCTTATTTCTTAGGCCACTCCTTTCCAATATCCTCTCTATCTCCTTCACTCGTTCATCAGTGAAGGGATAGGGCGATAGGCATCATCCCCATGAGCCACCAGAAGATCTCTTATCTCTGTCTGGCCCGTGGCTGTGAGTCCATTGCCTATAGCAGTAGGGATGCCAGTAACTTTGAATCTGCGACTCAGGGACTTTTTCCTCTCGTCACCGAAGGGGAGTGCCAACCAAGGCATTCCAGAAAAGAATTCATCAAAGCGAGATTGATCCCTGTAATTTGACATCAAAGTTATCTCGAAAGCATCGTCCTTTGCTTTAATCTCACGATATGCCTTACATTAATCAATTTGGGCACAAAAGCCATTACATGGAGGACATCAAGCCAGGAGAGTGTGAGTCTGTGACTAAATTAAAAATAAATAAACATAGAACACTGTAATAACCAAGAAGCTTCTTGATTATCAAAGAAAAAAAAACGAGAAACTTCTTAGTGGCAAAGATCCTCTGTGTATGCATACCATGGTTTTCAAAATCGGACCGGACCGGACCGAACGGTCGGACCAGAAAAACTGGGAACCGGTCACCTGACCGGTTCCATTTTTCCCCAAAACCGGGATTTCTCAAAAAACCGTGATTTTGGTCAGCAAACTGCTGACCCAGGCGGTTAACTGTTCTAATGGTTTTGACCGTTTTTATTTATTTTTTGTCAGAACGGACTGACCATTAACCGGACCCCTGATCAGTTCGGTCTCTGGGTCGATTTTAAAAATCATGATGCATACATATACACAAATCTATACAACGTTCTTCTGTTTCTTCTGTGCAGTTTCTATTCATGTGGGAACCCACCCAAGTTTGAATGAATATGCGGAAATCGGATTAAGTCCTCACTAAACAGTGTTCGCACCATACTCACAGCCATTTCCAACTGTGCATTGCGAATATCTCCTCATGAATAAAAACATAGAAGTATAGAGATATTCCCAAAATATAGAAATACTGAGAGCCTATAATGTTTGAGGGTTTGGTGAACCCAAATCTAGGAAAATTGTCTAAAACTCACTATGATTTTTAAACATTTCTCTTAAACTCACCATAACTTTTCAAAATATCCCGGGAACCCCATGCCAGTAACTTGACATTAAACATACTAACAGGTGTTAGTAGATTACCATTTTACCCTATGTTATATTCAACCCATTTTTCAATATTCTAGAAAAAACCCATGTTATTATTTTTTCAAGTTCCTTGGAATAATGGAATACTTTTCAAGCAGCACAATGAGATTTAAGTGTCTCTCAATGAGTAGAAATCCTAAATATAAGGCAGTTGGGCATTTAAGGGCATTTTAATCATAAAAATATGTTTAATAAGGCTGAGTAGCCATTCAGGAGTAAATCTGGTCATGAAAATTGTATTTACGCTAACTTGGACAACTTTTGTCAACACAAACAGTGCTCTAATGGATGATGAGTTTTTAGAAAACAAATCTCACTGATATGGGGTTTTTTTGACATTTTGAAAAATTATGATGAATTTAAAGAGAAACAGTGAAAAGTAATGATGAGTTTTAGATAATTTCCCTTTTATCTATAAAGCCAAAGTCCATCATGGTACAGTCATTTGTGCGAAAACCCGAACAAGGCGCACTCTCTTGCAAAGCAACTACATATGAACCTAAGCCCTCCCACCCGAGTCTGACTTCTATGGTCCCAAGTATTCCAGTATATGACTAGTTTGTCCACTAAAGACCAAAGCGGTAACTCGTTCATTCAGTCACTTCAACTATTAGATGGTCCATTCTAAGAGTTAAATAAGGTGAGAAACACACTATGGCTGGGCCCAAATTGCTCCGTGCACTTGGCCTAACCTAGCCCAGCTATGTAAAATAATTCAAGCTAAACAAAACTTATGCACTGAAAAGAATCATGTATCTAGCACATTTTATTTTATGTAAATTGCAGGTTAGTATCTTTTACTTTGGGTTAGTCTCATTTTGGTATTCCGACTTCAACATGTGTCAATGTAGTACCCGAATTCTCAAAAATTGCAAGTTTAGTACTTGAAAATATATTTATAAGTTGGCTCTCAAATTAAAACACTACATTAAAATGGTACCATGGTGTATGTTCAAAACAAGAGAGAGAGATGCTAACAAACCCGGATAAGATGAACCTGATGGCTATATTAGGGGTTGTATAACCAATAATAATACCCCACCACAGCTATCTACTTAAAATGAGGGATTGAGAGGAGACCGGATCTGCTCCTCACATGTAACGCCTCACATGCACATCCTATCATGCATTGGGAGCATCTCCTGTTTTTATTGGTTATTATTCATGGGAGATGTTTCCAATGCATGGTAGATGTGCTTGTGAGGCGCTCGTTTTTGAGGAACAGATCCCATCACGATTGAGAGGTTGTAGGGAATATACACTTGATGTCCCGTAGCATTGTCATTGGTTACACATTTCCTAACACACCCATCACTTTTGGTTCATCCGAATTCACTATTTAGGAAGTTGTAAGCTCCTAAATGACTGAAATTGAAGTTGGGAATATACACTTGATGTCCCATAGCATTGTCTAGGGATTGATCCTTACATTTAGGAGGCGTTATTTTTTTGGATTTGGAGAGGGGAGAAAGTTGGTTAATGGGATTTTAGTTTCCATTGACCAAGAATCCCATGCTCTTTTTTTAGCTTTATGTGAGCATCGGGAAAGTTTATTTTCCTGGGTATCACTTGTCTAGGAAAGTGATACCCATCTCCTAGGTGGGTAAATAACTTTCCCACATAGGAGAAAGTTGCCAATAATTGAATGGGAGAAAAATACCCCTTTTAATAAATGATTTCTATGGCGAAAATGGCCATTGCCTTATTTACTTGGAAAATAAAAAGAACATAGGTAAATGCACTTACCTAGGTAAGTGTTTCCCAGGAAAAACTTATCAAGGTAATTGCATTTACTCGGGTAAATAACTTATCGAAAAGCAAATAGGGCTTTAGAGACAAACTCAACTTCATTTAAATCCATTTTTGACAATATTTATATATATTATTGGATGTAGAACTACTACTGGTAATACTAATTGATAGGGTGGGTCGAAAATGCCCACCGAATTTGAAGTAGTTTTGGTAGTGGAGATCAGCTTTTGTTAGGGCAAGCTCATGCCCACACAGTTCCAATTGCCATTTGCAACCTTGCATTGGGAATATCTCCTTGTGAAATAAAGCACATAAATAGGGAGATATTCTCAATGCAAGGCAGTAAAAACTACTCGAACGAGCTTTGCCCTGACTGAAGTCAAATTCGACAGGAGGTGCATTAACAACATGATCGCCATTTAGGGGTGGTGGTGTTATCTATACATTAACTTTTAGGGGGTGTTCTTTTTTTGGATTTTGAGAGGGGGGAAAGTTGGTCAATGGGATTTTGATACCCATTGACCAAGAATCACATGTTCATTTTTCAGATTTATGTTGAGATTAGGGAAAGTTTATTTTCTTTCTCTAGGTGGGTAAATAACTTTCCCACTTAGGGGAAAAGTTGCTAACACTTGAATGGGACAAAAATACCCTTTCTAATAATGGATTTTTATGGCTAAAATGGTCATTACCTTATTTACCTACGAAATAAATTAAAAAAACATGGGTAAATAGACTTACCCAAATATATTTCCTAGGAAAAACTTACCCAAATAATTGTATTTACCCAAATAAATAATTTATCAAAAAACGAATGAGGCCTTAGGCTATATTTACTTTGAAGGAAAAGATAGGGAAAGAAAATGTAAAGAAACATTTACAAATCTTGTATTAGTTTTTTTTTTGCTTTTTTTCTTCCTTTTCCTGCTTTTTTGTTTCAAACCAAATACAGCTTTAAGACATGACGGTGTGAATCAATCCAGATTAGCTAGGTTCTATTCGCACTTGGCACATGTTTGAAATATTCCGACCGGACTGGGATCTATAAATCAGAGTTTAAAAGACAAAGAAGCTCTCTCTCTCTCTGAAGTCGGGCCAGTTGTATCTAAATCAATACATTCCTATCAGTATCCTCTTTTCCGGATATCATGGAAACCGCAAACCGGTCTATCATTCATGTACACAGTGTCACAGTGTCCAATTTTACGGTCAGGCCCGGCCGATTCAAACTGACTTGTCCAGTCAATCAAGACTCATGACTCAAGACTGTCATGGATCATAATCAGGACAGCAGTTCAGGAATCAGGATTACCAGGCCCAGGGAATCATCAATCGACACGAAAGGAGTTCACATGCAAAGATACCACTCGAAATAAAAAGAAATTTCCGCATAGAAGCCTGAAGCCTCTTCTTTCCCCCCCAGTCCCCACCCCACATACACATAGAAATGAAATAATAGAATAGAACCATAAAAAAAAGATGTACTAAAATTTATTATTCTTCTAAAGGAATATTATATCTCCCTCGTATGACAACAAGATCCTACAACTTTGAATGTCTTTTACTCCCAAGACACCACCAAAAGAAGGGATAACCCAAAGAAAAAGATGGAAGACCACCTCCACAAGAAACAACAGCACGAAAGCCTATCCTTCGGTAGTAGGAAAAATGCTAACAAGTGGTTGGATTGATCTACACTAATGGATTTGTTGCAGAAGATCCATAACCATTCATCACCCCAGTCCATGAGCCAAGACTGTTGATATACCCGAATGAATCTTTTCCAACCTCGGAGCAACCTTGATCTTGCCATTCAAGGGTCAGGAGCTTGTTGTTTGGCTTCGCTTCTATAGCGTTTGGATCCTCACTGCCTCCTAATGGAAGCATTAGCCTCTGGCAAGTGTCCATAAACGATCCCCCGCTGCTCCCTTCAAGGGAAAACCCAAATGGAGAACTAACAGCATGGAGGTTATTAGAAGGTGTGAACCCATGACCAACATCTCCAACTCCAAGGCCGCCCACAAGACCCAGTTCACTGTTTCCCATGAAATCATGGTTTCTAGAGTTTCCCAGTATGGCATCAAATAACTTGCTGTTCTCCATGAAATCGACCGATCTAGGGTTGTCTAGCACGGCATTATTGTACTTGTTCATGAAATTAGGGTTCCCGAGACTTGCAGCAGGATGGCCAAACAGCTGGTTGGTTAGGTGTGACAATTGCACCTCAGGAAACGAAAGTTGCAGATCTGTAACGTCGTGAGATGATGAACTGGGGTGTTTGTTAAGTAGTGATTGATCAGTATCAGATTTCTTAACAGCCACCCTCTTGTTCTTTCTGCATCCACCGCCCACAGGAATGTTCCTGAGGGAGCCTCCTTTGGTCCAATACCTCCTACATGTTTTGCAGAAGTAGCGTGGTTGCGAGAGGCTGTAATTGTTGTAGTAACAGAACTTGGTATGCGTGGAGTCACACCTTGGGCACTTGAGTGCTTGATCATGTTGGGGCCTCAGCCTCCTCTCCAGCAATGGCCTTGAGCATGTAATAATGGAGTCCCCGGAAGGCGACGAAGCATCCATTCCATTTTCCTCGTGAGTCGCGCCCTAATTAATTTCAGAGGACAAGGAAATATAAGAATGTGCCAGATTGGCGATTACAGAGAGATAATCTGGGATTAGACATTCCATTTCTTTACAATATCAACTCCATCAGAATGTCAGAAATCAAGCCAGGTGCTTAAAACATGCATGTATGGGAAGTTGGAACTGGAACACACTGTTCTTGAACATGTCTAACATTAGGAGTTCCATTGCTAGCTTTTATTAGATTAATAAGTATGTAAAACATTTGTCATTCTGTCTGTCACAAATCTCTTCCACTCCCCTACGTTTACGATTCATCCATTGATTCCATGCCGCACTACAAGTATAAGCTCACTACTTACCAATCTAATTTTTCCTATAATTCTATTATATATGCAGCTAGTTTATATCTATCTAATCAATTCATTTATTCTCTCTCTCTCTCTCTCTCTCTCTCTCTCTCTCTCTCTTTCTCCCTGTGTGTGTCTTAAGTTTTGTGTAGTAATGTTACACATGAAGGAAGCATGGATATAGTCATTTTTTGTTGTTTATCATGAACTGTACATGATTTTCTCTTGTTTTTCGTAAACCCTAACCTTCAATGTACAACGGGCTTAAGGGATAAAATGGATCTGTTAACTCATTATTATACCTTCTCCGGATCGAAACGCTAGCTTAAGAGAAACATGGCTAGAAATTTGTAAAGAATGAAAAAATATAAAACCTTAAACGGAGGAGGAGGAGGAGGATAAGGAGGTTGTCATGATGAAAACAAAATTAGATTTTGTAAAGATAGGCAAACAAATGAATCGATACCTGCAACCAGTCAGATGTGTCCATGCAGACCTGCAGAGAAGTAAGACCCATTCAACGAAGCCAAATGATCAGAAGAAGGAAAAATAAATTAATTACAGCCACGCCCCTTCTTTTCAGAAGAACCTCATTTTAATTTCACCAGAGCTAGCTGCACTGCAAAAGGATAGCAGAGAAGGAGAATAGTAGGTAATACTCTTGGGGAAGCGAAGGAGTAGTGTTAAAGGAGTAAGAAGTGGTAGTGGGAATCAGGAGGGAGGGGGGAGAGAGAGAATAGATTGGGGGAATCAGGAGGGGGGGGGGGGGGGAGGGAGAAGAGGGGGGGGGGATGGGGGGGGGGGGGGGGAGAGAGAGAGAGAGAGTAGATTGGTTGGTATGCTTGAGAGAGGGGTTGTCATGTCATCAATAAGAAGGAAGAAAAAGGTAGTCCGGGGGGGTGGGCTCCCCTCCTTTCAGGCTTTCATCCCTTCTCTGCTGCTTGTACTGTTATAGTGGTATAGTGGTCTTCTTCTTCTCTTCGTTGGTGGTTAATGAGTGGGGGGAGGGGAGGGCCCACCTTGTCCGTCAGTTGGGTCAGCTTGACCAAGACTATTACTACGGTTTTGGAGGCAACGGTCCTGATGCGCGATGATGTCATGATCAAAGCCTGGTTATAAGAGAACAGGGTGGGCCGTTGGCGTTGGGTTGATGGTCCCTGTGGGCTGTGGGTGTGGTGGGGGAACGGGGATTGGATTCTTTTGTTGAAGAAACACGTCAGATATCACGGCGTTGTCAAATGTCACGTTGACGAGACAGCACTGGGAATATTTGGGTCCTTGAAAAAGAGCAAACCGAAAGCAGCACTCCTCCATCTTGGACCCCACACACACTCTCTCTCTCTCTCCCCACTCCTCCAGGCTCCACCCAGGCAACCCAACAGGCCAACACAACACCACAACTGAGAACCCCTGTCTCTCCTCCTCCCTCTCCAAGCAAAGGATAAATTCCCTCTCACGTGTGACGTGTCCTCTCTCTATGACCCAATTCTTAGGCACGTGCAGCCTTTTTCCTGCCTGCACCAGAGAGCACAGTGCACATACATTAAATAAAAGGACTCTCAAAATACTGTTCAATGGGTCCCTCCCACTCCCATCAACCGGAAGGATCTCAACCCTCCGTTCTCTTGCATCCTTTTATTACCGTAATACCAATCAGGAGTCGGCAAATGAAATGAAAGTATCAAGTATGAAACGAAAGCGGTAACCTTTGGGGTTTGGTGATGTGGTAAGCCGTAAGCCAAATTCCAGTATTCAATGAAGCAGCAGGAGGTGTCAGGTGTGTGCTTGTGACAGTGATCCATGTAACACTCAACATGTCTGGGCTTATCAGACTTCCCACTTGTTGTCGAGTCCGAGTCGGTCGATTGATACGATGGTACGGCATATAAGCACGTGATTTCATATTCTCTATCACTTCATTAGTAATATTTAGTTGCAATGATTAGATTATATTGTGAAGTACTTATTACGGTTTTTTTAGTTGGAATGAAAAAGGTAAAGGTAAATTAACTGCAATCTCTCTCCTCTCCTTAGTTTCTGAGAACTGATAAAACCTCTTCCACACTGCACAGCCAAAGGCTATAATTTGTTCATGATTTCTCCTTCACGTCTCTGAAATTGGACCAATCACATCCTTTTCGTGATTCATCGACTCAAAAAGCAAAGTACGCTTTAATTTTACTCTTTCGCCTTGAATCATCTTCCCGTTCAACGGTAATCACTGTTTCTTACTGAACTAAGAAACTAACAAGTTCTCAAAGCCAAACCACCTCTATTCTTGTTGTTCCGTACTTGGGTGGTGGACAAGAAGATTATTTCGTTAAAAGAGGGCAGTATGTATGGGAAGCACCAGCTTACTAAAGCCTACAATCACATTCTTCTTCTACTTAGGCTCCGTTTGGGAACGATGCAAATAGAGTGTAAACCCCAGTTCAGGTATATTCTGCTTCAATTTTTCTGGTGTTTGGCAAGAATACAATTATGCATTGATAAATGATAGAAAATACATTTTTCAATGTATATTTACATTCAAAATGAGATGTAAATGTAAATCGATATAAAAAAAGAAGTAAATTTTCATTTAATGTGGATTTTTGTTAAAAAAAAGGCATATATTTTATTGGGATTCATGTTTGCATCCATTTTGGTAAAAAGGTAAATCTGTCAATGCAAGACTAACCCAACTTTGCATTTACATGAACCATTTTACATTCTGCATATTTGCATTCACACTTTGTTTGCATCATTCCCAAATGGAGTCTATGTGGCTTACAATTGTAGTCGATCATTTCAGTGTTGCCACTGTGGCTTACAATTGTATTCAATCCTAAGGATCAGTTTGGAAAGAGTACAAATACAAATATGTATAGTGTAAATACATACATAATATAAGGTTTTGCACTCTACATATTTGCATTTGTACTCTTACCAAACTGACCTTAAGGCTCGATTTGGAGGGAATACAAATAAAAATAAATAGAGTGCAAAACCTTGTATCTTGTATTATTTTGTATTTATTTATACTGTGCTCAATTTGGAAGGAGTATAAATACAAATATGTAGAATGCAAAACCTTATATTTTGTATGTATTTATACTGTACATAATTATATTTGTACTCTTTCCAATCATACTCCAAGGTTTAAAGTATTAGAAATGTCAAGAATATCCAAAAAGTGATCTTAAGAGAGAAATTGAGATATGCATATTATAGATAAAAACAATGTAATTCTTCATGGGGCTACATCAACAGGGTAGCCCATCCCCTTCCCTTAATCCCCCAACTCCGGTGGCAATGGGATTTAATCCCAGGTCTCTACTTTGACGAATCAAAGATCATATGATCCACCATCAATTGCTAATTGTTTTTATTTTTGAAAATAAAAACAATGTAATTCTATGCGGTAGTTACTTTTATTTTGAGAAAAGCAAAACCAACCATGTTCTCAAACACCCCCTAAGATGCCTATGGATATGTTAGGGGAAAGCAAATAAAATCCAAAACACATTAATAACACTAAATGTAAGTCTCAAATGACCATAAAAAATATAAAAATAATTTTTTCTAGTTTATATATAAGAGATGTAAGTCCAAAACACTTTATTTTTTTTTCATTTTCTGGTTTTTATAGGTGACTAAGTTAGAATAGTGCATGTTATAAGTACTTGTAGCTGACCCCATTTAGTTGGAACAAGACTGAGATGATGATAATTTTAACAAGTACTTGTGATATAGCTTGATGGTAAGGGTTTCGGTCTTTTAAATGGCAAACCTAGATTTCTATCTTGCTGATTGTATATGACTTTTTATTTAAATTTAAATAATGGACTTAGTGGTTTTTCTTTTCTTTTTTTCAAACAAGGGGACTTTGTAAGAGTTAATAGGCGAGGCCTTGTTTACTGACAAAAAAAGTGGTAGTAGAGTGTTAATGGGAGTTATATGATTCAATGGGGGAATTAAGATGTCAATTAATATGATAAGAATATTATATCAACTATATGGATCGTATTGACTTTCAAAAAAATGGATGGTATTCCGTCCATATTGGTAAATACGGACCCAGTGCATGTAGATTGATACATACCCATGCCATTTTGTATTAGTCAATTTTTTAAAAGAAAGAAAAGAATTTATTATAATTAAAAGGAGGTAATCCTCAAAACAAAGCTATGAGCCGAAGTTCCATATAAAAGAAAACAAAAGAATAAGAATAATTTAAAAATAACGGGGTGAGCCGGAGTTTTTTAAACGAATGAGAACAATTTAATGAATTGTCAGAAAATTAGTCAATTTCCTAAAACTTAAAGATAGTTTAAAAAACTTGCCATATTTAACTAGAGTAGACCGGCACCAGACCAAAGTCCAATCCAACCCAAGAAATTTAAACCTTTCTGGTCTGTTTATCCAAACAATGACTGACTCAAAGAGTCCATATGCTAAGGCATTTATGACCCATGCAGCGGCATCTCCGGGACCTGCAGGCTTTCCAAATTTACTCATGATGATGATAAACCAACCACGAATAAGTGAAGAGAAAAAAACGAGTCTCGTATCAAACTGATTGAAACTAACATCCACGACGACGACGTGATGGGGCCGGGAAGGCCATCGATTCTTATTTCTTATTGTTAGATCGATCTATAATAAAACTCATCACTATAACACTTGTGTTGTGTCCGCTTTGCCACCTTTCCGAACGGCATGTTGTTCCAAAATCTACCATGCAACCAGGACAACAGAGTGTGTATATGAAAGATCTATTGTCCGGTCCAAAGGAAGCATGGACACGGTACTTCCGCTTGAAAGTTAAAACTGGAGTCTGTAACGTCTGGACGGACCATTGACCGTAGTAATCACTGTGCTCCAACCGAGGACATGAGCACAAGGAATGTTTAGTAATAGACCTGGCAATTCGGACTGGATGGTCAGACCGCAAATCCCGCCACCACCTGATCTTAAAGTTAAAACTGATCACTGGGCTGGGCAGCTGGACCATGAAATGATGAAGTTCAGATTCCAGGCTCGACAAAAGGTACAGAGCCCCGGTCTAGCTAAAACTCTTAGTGATCTCTGATCTGGTGTCACAGCCGACAGCCCTTAGATATATGGAGCTGGACCGACTACAGACCTGGACGGCATTCTTTTAACAGCTCCAGAGGGGCATCAGGCAGTAGCAGTATTTGGATCACGTCCTGCCCAAGCAGAGAGGCGAGAGCGCCTGTGAACTGCTAGTTTAATTTTGCCATATTAATTTAGCAGTAATAGTTACAAGACAAGGCCATCAGATCTGATGTGTCCGTCAATAGATTAGAGATTGAAATTAACCATAGGCGGTAGGCCCCCAGATCTGTATCGTCAGTCATCTAAATATTTTGGGTAATGTGCCATCCGAGAGGTCGACATTTTACTGGTTGGGATCCAAAAGGGGATGATGGACCAACATATATATATATATATATATATATATATATATATTGTCGTAGGGGCTAAGGGGAGGAAGCATGATCACCTTTAACCAGCAGATCTATGGTCCATACAGAGATTGTGCAGTTATCAACAGAGTCCAACCAACAGAGATTTATTAGCTTCCAAAGTTCCACAAATAATGGAGGACCCGCCTATGACCTGTCCTGTATATGTATAGTTAGTAAATGAAGCAAGACAATAATGGTTTATGGAACTGAACAGTGGGGAGAGCTTGGGGGTGGGGGGGTGGGGTTAGAATCCAATTCAGTTAGGTAGGAATATTGTACC